AGCCAATGAAGTCCCTGGCAATTTAGATCAAATTCCAATTTGACTTCAAATAGTATATATTAGCGCGGAAGTTGATACGAGTCTCGCGGAGGCTATTCCCCAAGATTCGAGCATACAATGGCAGATGAAGGTTTTATGAGGTACCTCAAACGCTTCTTTTCTGAATTCATGTGTTTGTTTATTGCTGTTCGCGCAAGTGCTCTCTGCAGTTTTTGTTCACGCTTGCGCGCAGAGTTTCACGATTTTATAATTAAGGATTGGCGCAATCGTGCCATAGGTTCAGGCTGATGCGGGGCATGGTGTCTCGCTCGTTGCTGCGCCTGCAGCATGGGCGCTTTGAACAGGTTCCTCTCTTTTGCCAAGTGCACTTCCGGGTCGACAGATCCAAATGCCACTCGTGCCACCTGGGCATGTCCAGTGGACGCCAGCACTGCCTTGTAAAAACCTTGCGTTCATTTTGGGCTTTTCAAAACAGACACAGACACATGTGATGTAAAACGTAACCTGATGCCGCAATATACACACATGGCGTATGTCATGTAATTAGTTAATGGATTTGGTAATTTTTTTGGTGCCTACAAAAATGCTAGAAATATACATACGGTAATCCCGGCCAAAACGCGGGCAGTCAAATGTTGCAGCTCAATGCCAAATGGCCCACATTGTTCGTCAACCCCTGCCAAAATACGGTCAATCAATTTCTTTGATTTTTTAATTTTTTTGGTCGCGGAGGCAAAAAGCCAAAAAACAGACGATGGCCAAAAAAACGTCGACCACGCCGAAAAAGCGTCGACCAAGCCGAAAAACGATCGACTGTGACTGACGCAGTCGTTGGAGGGTCAGGGAAGATTGCCTCAATTCCAAACGGAGACTTTCAGTCTGACGATTCTGATGCCCAACATGGTCGCTCAATGATTCGATAGTAGCCATGCACTTCTCAATGGCATGATCGCTTCGGATGCGTGCGTCTAGCATCTGACTCTCATATTGTTGTTTCATGGACTTGCGTTCGGATGCAGGAGCTTCGGCATAAGCCTCATATCCCTTTTGCGCTGATTCAACCAAGGAGCTGACAACCGCGTTCTCATGAAACATCTGTTCAGCCTCACTCATGAACCTAAGGCCCTGCGCTTTCATCTCGTCACGCTGAGCACTCACCATCTAGGAGTTGTTCACTTTGTGCGTCCATGGCACGCCGATGTCTCTCCTCGGCGACTGTCTCAATCAACCTGGCCTCGGTCGTTGGGGCTTGGTGAACATGCAGGCGCTGGTTCAAAACGTTCATTTGGTTGTTGACCGGCACAGCGTTCCTGCTTGCACTGGCATCTGGTGGGTTGTAGTGGGAAATGTCAGGCCAAAGTGGCGTGTTCAAATATCCAATCCCTCCAGGAACAAGTGCAGTGGAACTAGCATACTCAGGCATTTCCTCTCGCGTGGACATATGATCCCGGTCAGACGACAAATCGATAATCACCGGGGTCCCGAAACCAGCCATGGCAATGGTACGCGAGGAACGAAAAGCTAAAAAGGGGCAGTAAAGATTCCTACGGCTGATAACCTATTTCAAACAGGTAACAGCCTAAAACAGACAGCTTTTTCTTGAGCCAAAGCACGGTAGGTAATGGACATATGTACATGTGCTAGCTGTGAAAAATAGCAAGCTTGGGCAAGTCTTTGGGCTGGTGTTTGTGATCGCCCTTCACCCTTGCCTGGTCACGCTAGGATGTGCGGTGTGGGCTGGACCGACTGCTCTCAGCACCACCGCAAGGTACACAAACTGCGCGGTAACGATTGTGTCATCCACGTTTTGATGTAAAAAGTCAATGTTTGATTTGAGCATTTCATTTGTGTCTAACAGCCTCAAGGGAGCGACCCAAGATCCAGCACACAAGACAAGGCCTCCGATCTTCGCAAGATTTGATCGTTATATATATATATATATAATTTTGCAATTATGTGAAGACTAGGAGCAAGGACGCTACTAGGAGCCCTGGCATCGCTACTAGGAGCAAGGACTAGGGGCTGCTGGCCGCACTGCTAGGAGCAAGGACGCTACTAGGCGCTACTGGCAGTCTGGCCGCACTGCTACAGGATACTGGGAGCAACGACGCTACAAAGAGTCCTCACATTGCCACTAGGAGCAAGGACTGCTAGGAGCAAGGACGCTACTAGATGCTCCTGGCATCGCTACTAGGAGCAAGGACTAGGGGCTCCTGGCCGCACTGCTAGGAGCAAGGGCGCTACTAGGGGCTCCTGGCCGTACTAGGAGCAAGGACGCTACTCTGGGCTCGTGGCGTACTACTAGGAGCAAGGACGCTACTAGGGGCTCCTGGCATCGCTACTAGGAGCAAGGACTAGGGGCTCCTGGCTGCGCTGCTGGGAGCAAGGACGCTACTAGGCGCTCCTGGCATCGTTACTAGGAGCAAGGACGCTACTTGGCGCTACTGGGGGCTCCTAACCGTAGACGCTACTAGGGGCTCCTGGCCGTACTAGGAGCAAGGACGCCACTAGGCCGTACTACTAGGAGCAAGGACGCCACTAGGGGCTGGCATCGCTATACTAGGAGCAAGGACGCTACTTGGGGGCTCCTGGCATCGCTCCGGGCTCCTGGCCGTACTACCAGGAGCAAGGACGCTACTGGGGGCTCCTGGCACACCATCGCGGTCGGTCCAAGCATCGCGCAACTACGCCCACTCTGGAGCATAGTATAGGTGAAAAGAAAAGGACACAGGTGGTCAAGATCAAGTGTACACTAATTATTAACCGCTGGCAACACAACATCCCACGTGTTGAGCGGTCTTCCAGCGCCGTTGTCAAAAAGATGTACCATCTGTAGTCGTTCACTGTCGGACATATAGACAGCCGCTCTCGTGACAATTCCCTTGGGGAAAGCACAGCCACTATACTTGTTCGTTGTCGCAACAAGATCGCCGGGCAAGATTTGAGTATTCTCCAGGCGGATGGCTTGTTTCAACATAGAACGAAACACCAAGATCAAATGGTGGTAAAAGCTAACCGCGGCTTCAAGTTGAGTGTGGAGATGGCCCCTCCACCAAAACAAGCAAGCAAGCTTAAGCTCCGTCGTGGCGACACACGTCTCTTCATCTTCTTTCCAGCGAAGGTTTTGCAAGAACGTTCGGAAATGGCGCCAATCCTCCTCGGTAAAACTCCACCGCGGGGGCTGGCGCTGCCTAGTGAAGATCTTCGGCTTCCAAGGAAAATCTGAAGTCCGCGTTCCCCATGCCCAGTGCGGGAATCGAGAAACAACTGACGCTGCAGTATCTGTAGTGGTTTGAGGAGCCGGAGTTGAAGTTGGGGATGGCTGCATCGTCTCAAGGAGCCAGTTCAACATGACTAACCACTCATGTCGGCGCAGAATAGCCACCTCAATGACCTTCTGATCCGATGGGCGAATAGGTGACAGGTCTGTGGCCAGATGGTTAGCTTCACGGTCTGCAATCCGATTAGCAATGATGTCTCGTGCAGAAGAGCCACATTCACGCGCAGCCGCCTCAGAAATAAGCGCAATGGGCAGGTGCTCGAGGAGGTGACTAGGAATCCACGAAACAATGAAAGGGAAATTGCAGGCCTGTAAACTCAATGTCAAAACACGTCTGATTTCGTGCCACCGCGCCTGGTGTGACCAGCGTGGGTCAACCTGTTGCGCACGGCATAGGTCATTAAACTGGTCCACAACCGACTGGCAGTCAGAACGAACATGGATGCGGCAGTGGGCTCGTTGAATCGCCCTGAGAAGGGCGAACAGCTCTGTTGTATAGGCTGAGAGTTCCCAATGACTAACACGTCCAGATTCAACAACCTGAAAACGGGCATCAACAATGGCGTATGCCCCTGTAGAGAGCCAGAAGTAGTTACCCCACTGGACTGAACCGTCAGTCCAGAAAAATTCCAGCTGCTCGGGATCAAACGACGCGGAGGTGTCCCCAACAGGAGACAAGCCAAGTCTTGAAAGGGCCACCTTCCTCGGATGCGTGCAAAGACCAAACATGGAAAAATTGATCCCAAACTCGTGGTCAGGAGGTCTAGATATAGCCGAGGCAAGCCCCGGGCACGTATGGACAAGGTGCTCCCAAGTCTCCTTTGCACAGTCGCACAAACGGCACTTTGGCGAGGAGACAAGCTCGGCTCGAAACAGTCGGTCGTTGGTTAAATTACAGCCGACTTGTACTGATTCGAAGTAGATCCTGTTAGGGATTGTTGAATCAAGGTGCAGTCTAGAGTGACGGTGAAAAAGGGAGGACAAGTCTGGGTCGAAAATGTCCTGACAGCTGCGAAGGTCCTTTCGTGAGATTTGGCTGCTTCAGTATAACATCTTTGTCTAGCAAAGTACTGCAGTGGTTTGGTAATGTCACGGTGGTTGAGCTCATACAAGGGGATGAGACATGATCCACAGAAGGAAATACGTAAACCCGGGCGCAGTGTCAAGCCGAGATGTGCCAGACCATCTGCAATCAACTGGATCAAAGATTCACGGGGCCAAGCTGTAGCGTTCTGGAGATCACGGCAGGTCTGAGTGGCACTTGGCATCTGATGTAAAAACCTAACAAAGTCAAGGATGGCCGCACACGCTCTTGCGATCAAAGGTTCAACCCGGTGAGGTTTGGCAACAATGCCAAGGACCAAAAGACGAGCTTTTCAATGAGGTCGTCGCGCCCAAATGACGTTGACAACTTCATTTTGAGTCTTCCAGAGAACTTTCTGGGGAATCTTAGTAATGGCTGCGCCATATGTAAGTTGTGGAATGACTTTGGCCCCAATAAGATGCTGCTTGATGTCTTGCTTCAAAGGGAGTGCTGCAATATTCCTCAAATCCTCCACAATTTAAACCCCTTTCTTGGAATCAAAATCAAACGAACGGAGTGAAGAGACATACATTTATCCCCAAGACATCGATCACATCCGCGAGAGGGATATCGGGGAAAAGAGCAGCGACAAGCTTCTTCTTTGTTGGATCAGACGCCCATAATTGGCATTTTTTGGGATTGGAAAGTTGGCCGGTCAGTGTGTCCCAAAAGTTGGTAACCTCCAAGGCTCGTTTCAAATCAGCACGATGGTTGATATTGGCCCACATGTGAGAGTCATCTATGAAAGCCTTAGCGGTAACAGTTGGGATGAGGTCACAAAAGATCGACCATGCATGAGCAAATTGATGGCAATGAGAGACAACGAACAGCTCTGCGCGACCCCGTTAGAGGCCGTCGTACGGAGGGTGAAATCCATCCTCTCAAGGCAAGGTGCCGACGTAGGTTGGCATAGATCTGAAGAAAGAAATGCACGACACCACGTGGCAGGCCAAAAGCGAGCATAAGTGCTCCAGCCATGGCCGGGATGAGTCGGTCGAAGCATTTAGACTTGTCTAGCTTTAGGCCAACCAACACTTCGGATTCATGTTTGGCCACATCAAGGTCAGTCCTTAGCTGTGTATGCACAGCCGTCATTGTCCTACCTTTAATAGCTCCACATAGGTTGGGAGGGAGAGTCAATTGCTGCCATGATTGGAGCTGTCGAAAGCGTAGACCCGAATAGGAAAGCAGAAGTGCCGGGAGCAGCGTAATCAATCTTTTTTGCATTGGCGATGGATCCCCATTCTTGTTGAGAACCATCTGTTTGGCGATGGTCAGCACTTCTGGGAGTGGGGATAGCTCCTGTTCAACTTGATTGAAAATAAGTGCAACAGGCACGAAAGCGAACCACGGTAGTCTTTGAAGCTCATTCGTTCTCCACCCATATCTAGGCCAGGGGCCGCCTCAGGTTTACGCCTGTGAATCTGGTCACAAAGATCACGAGCAGTAATCTCGGGGATTTGGGCCTGATGGGAAAGGTGGGACACATATGGCCAAATCACCTTCAGGACAGCTTGGGGATCTTCATGAAGAGCATTGATTCCGAAAACCTCATCCCATTGGGAATTGAATTCCGCAAGGGCATCCAAGGGTTGGTAGATAATGTGATCAGCGCTATCCGTGATCAAGTTTGGAGGTTCATCGGATGCCTTTTGCTTAAGGTGCTGAAAGATGTATTTCATGTTGCCGTTGGCCGATGCTTTCATTTTCTCTTTCCAAACTTGGATGCGGCCCTGCCTTGTGGCGCGGGTGACCTGTGATAGGACACCTTCGAGCCAAGACAAGCAGTCAGAAACTTGCACCAAGGTGGGATAGTGGTTGAAAGCCCATACGTGGGGACACGACCAATGCGCAAGAATGGCTCTTGCCTTGCGCAAAGATCTGGCTAAAGTAACCCCATCTTCAAAAGATTTCACAGGGCGTGCAAGTCGGAGGGAAACCTCACGGAGAATATTGACAGCTCTGGCAATGCGTTTGGCTTTCCGAGAAAGGGCATCCCCCCTAGCAGTTTGCCCAGGACAAATTCGTGTGGGGCAAAAAGACGGTAAGGACCCTCTGTGTCTCGGGCCATGTTCCCACGTGCCGCCATTGGCGGTAAGAACCTGGATGAAGTATTGGTTGGTGATTCTCCATTTGTCATCCACTGATGTGGCAGCGTGGAAAGCTTGCTCACTAGGCGATGTACAAAGATGGACAGCGTTATTGTGACATGGGCACAATGGGTCACTGTCTGGAACCGTACACTGGTCAAGATTAAATGGGGCAGGTTTGATCAGCGTATACCCAACTTGGGTGATTCTGTCCCACTCAAAAAGGGCTCGAATGGGTCGATGCTGAACCTTCAATTCCAATACCCCAATATGTCGAAGGGCAGAAAATGCAATGTGATTACACAAAATGCCATCAATGGAAGTGCAGAGTTCACCTGCATCATCAACTCCGACCAAGGGGTCAACCCAGGAATGGTGGTTGACAGCTGCAGAAACACTGTGGTATTGGCGAGGATTCAATTGAAAGTCCCCACACACGATCACA